TAGTCATTGGAAAGGGGAATGCTCTGTTCAGTAATATAAAGTGGAGTCAGCTTTCCCATGTCTGAGCTTTTTTAAGTTGAAGAAATTGCTTTCCTAAAGGAGATTTTATTAGTAGAGTTGGAGCAGCCCAACTCTTACCAGGTGTCATGTAATCCTGAAAACCTGAAGTCTGAGCCTAGTCATGATTTAACAACCAAAGTCATGGGAAATGCATCACAGACTATTTTGATTGCTCTGCATGGCCTGAGAGTCTTCCTTCGGCCGTGGTATTTAGAAGTAAATTAAAGTCAGAAGAGTCTATCCTTCCTTTTCTTCAGCAACCGTGCCTAATCAGTAGCCAAGGCTTGTGGATTCTCTCCCTGAAATACTTCTGCAATTGATCTACTTTTTCATTCTCAGGGAACCCAGATCAGCCATCTATCCAATTCAGGCCCATTTCTCACTGTGCCTTCTAATTTAACTTTTAAAAGTGCAGTCTGATCTCTTCATTTTCTCACTTCTTAGTCAATTCAGTTGTGTACCCTTAGAATAGGGTTTTAATTCATTTAACATGGGTTACAGAGCCCCCAATCCTGACCTCTGCCTGTCTCATCTCTCACCACCACTGCCTTGTGCTCCCTGACCCCAGGCTCTAGCCAGGCTGGAATTATCTCAGTTCCTAGAACATGACTAGAGCTGCATTGGCCTCCAAGCATGCTGTTCTCCCTCCAACTCTCTTTGCCGGGTTCAAAGTCACAGTTCAGCTCAGATTCCTCTTTCTCCTGAGGCTGGGTCTGGATTCTTGATTCCCATTCTTAGAGTGCTGTGTGCCTCCCTTTTTCGTAGCCCATGTTCCACTTGGAACCGATGTGTCCAAAATAGTTTCCCTGCTGCATTGGAAACTCCAAGAGGGCACGTGTCTGACACATAGTAGCAATGCATTAATATTTATGGAATAGAATGAAAAGTGAATGAATGAATGAATGAATGAAATGGGAGATAATCGAGTGTATCAAAGAATCTATGAGAGTGGAGATTATGAAAACGAACATGCAAAGGACATGGAGAATTCCACTATACCAAGAGCCAAAAGATTCTTGAGGTTTAACGTTTAGCAGCTTATTGTCGAATTTAGCAAAGATGGTTTCAGTAACACAGTGGAAACAAAAGCCAGAGAGTTGGAGGCTTAGGAATAAATGCTTAAGGAAGTGAAGATAGCATATAAAGCCTGCTCTTGTCAGAAGTGTGACCATAAAAAACCGGGAGGAGTGACAGCTTGAAAGAGTCTGTCATTCCCTTGTCGTTTTTCTTAACTTAGGCTGGGAAGTCTTGGACATTCTCACTGTTTTTTCTGCTACTTTGTCCTGCTTTCCTGATATATCATAGGGGAAAGTTCTATAAATATTTCCTACTGCAAAGTAAAATGAGACACATTTTAAAAGCCTGATTTATGGGATTTTATTTAATATTTTTACATTTTGGAGGGATGAAAATTTTTGATGATTTTCAGTCTACCCGAAAATTAAGCTGGTTCCTTGACATTTGTTTATGAAAATGGTTGTTACAGTTTGTACTGGACTATGCAAACTTTATCCTGACTAAGGCAGTTTGTTTTGAAGTTGTCTTTTCCTTTTAGCCACTCTTAAAAATCTGGACTTTGGAATTTCATCTTAAAGCATTTCTATACCTTTAATCACAGATTTTGGCACAGATAGGTGCTAAGACATTGATCAGTGGATGTATATATTTGCTTTTTTTTTCTTACTGTAGAGATTTAGTTCTTAGGTTCCCCCCACACTCCCCACACACATACCATTTATAATCTAAAATCTGCTTTTTAAGACCTGCTGTTATAAAAAAATGCTTTTTGTATCGAAGTCTACCTGTGGGGTGTTTTTCTCAGGTCTCTTTACTTGTAGAAAACAAGATTTTTGTTCTTAATTAGCTCCTAGAGTTGAAATGATGGAGAGCCCCCTCTGAACAATAAGGTACCCTGGTTATTAATATGAGACCAATAGCTGGGCCATTATTCTCACCATAGCAGTTAATCACTTACTAGTAAGAGGGAGAGAGCATTCAGTATATTTGAAGGCTGTTTAATCATCAACTCTGGAAATGGCAAATATGACTTCGAGTTTATGAGAACGTACACCCCCCACTGCTTGTCAAGACTTTGTCACCAAATGTATTACTTTAATTAATTTGTTGTTTCCTTAACATGTTTGTTGTCATTTCTATCACAAGCTGTGTATTGAATTGCAAGTGACCAAGTCATTTGTGAAGGTACTGCTTATGTCACACATGAAATACATCACTGGTTGAGCTGAGGAACCTATTCTGTATTCCTGGCAGGCAAGCACAAGACAAACATAGGTTTCCAAGGTATCGGCACTGTGGGCATCTGTTTCATAGTGTAATTTTGTTAGTTGAACAGATGAAGAATGCTAATTAGTTTGTTTATACATTTGTGATTTAATGAGACTAAACACTTAACTGATCTTGAAGTAAGTACAACTTGTTTCCTGTTGCTGTTTTTAGTTTAATTAAAAACAGTGTTAGGCATATTTTCGGGAAGTTATATACTGTGCAGTATGGGAGAATCTCAGGGGAGGGTGGCTGGTCCGCTGTAGCCTGTCACAGTGAGATTCAATGGTAAGAGGAGAATAAAAATATTGGGTTTGGGGATGAGTTGAAATTCATTATTAATGAGACGGTTAAGCCAATGGAAGATTTTCTCATAAACTACATTATATCAAATTCCTAAATCCAGTACTAAAGTTCTAATACATACCAGAATAACTTATTTTAAGAAGTAGTCCTATACCTTCATTAAATTCAATCTATAATCAGAATTCTATTTTTTATCACTTTCTCTTTTATTTGAGTATCCTCAAAAAACTCCTAACTACTCTTCACCTAATCTTCTCTTCTTCTAATTGGTGTAGTTATATTTTGATATAACTGAAATAATGGCATTCAGTTAATATAGTTCCTCTTCCTGAAAATTAATACAAAATAATAGTGTTATACTTTTTATAAACTGATAATTATTTAATACCATCTATTCTGATCTCTTTTTCTTTTACTTACATGTTGTGCAAAACTGAATATGCAAAGGCTATAATATTTTGGGGGTGGCTGGACAGAGGAGATGAGGAAATAACTTGCCTTATAGTCAAAATGGTATTTGCATTAAAATGTTTCAGTTAACTTAGCTTTTTACAACCAGAGGTCAGAAAACTACAGCCTGAGGGGCAAGTCTATGGCCTGGTTTTTCAAATAAAGTTTTGTTGAAACACATCCATGTCGGTTCCTTTCATGAAGCAACAGCAGAACTGAGTCATTGATAGAGACCTACAAAGCTGAAATAAACTACTGTCCGATCCTTTGCAGAAAGGTCTGCTGACCACTGATCTAAACTTTATATGAAGACAGCAGTTAGTAAATAGTAGTAGAGTTATGCTGAAATGCAGTAAAGTCTGAGAAATAAATATTTGTAGAATCGAGTCATAAGGAAATGTTGTTGAGAGCTTTCAATTTTTAGGTCTTTCAAAATCCAATTTACCATGCCAAGCCTATTGAGGTAGATCCCTCTTCTAGTCTGCCAGAATATGTTTTCTGCTCAAGAATATATAGAATTTTCCTTGTACCTTCTTGAAGATTCATAAATTACATGTTGGTCACAGATTTGGGGTATGACTTTAAGTAATAGAGTCCTGGCAGCTTCTTCTGGACATTTGGCATCTTCATCTGCACCCATACCTAATATCCTGTGACCCAAAAGCCTGTCAGATGTTGAATTTGGGTTTCTTATTTGTTTCAGTTCATAAAGTGGATTGGCCATTGCTCTAAACTTATTAGATAACTTATCTGTGACAATGTACAAACCATTGCTTATACATATTAAGAAATTATTAAGAGCATTTAGGCACGTAGAAAAGAAAAAAAACTGAATGTTAGCTGTAAAGCCTGGAATATAAGGTTCTATCCTAGGTCATTCAAATGAGCAGGAGAATTATGTTCTTGTTTGCTTTTTAATGTAAACTCCTAAGCCATACCTTCAAGATAAACTAATCCTAGTTTTTAAATTAAGCCTGATTATTTAGAAATTAGTAAAATTTTGTAATATGAGTTTGGGTTAGTGGAAAATGCATGGACTATGGAGTGAGATGAACCCACATTTGAACTCTAGCTCCTTCATTTTCTAGCATTTCAAATGGAAGTAAATGACCTGAACTTTTGAGCTCTGGCTCATTAGAGATCATGATACCTATGCCATATGGTGGCTGTGATGATTAAATGATTCCTGTGAGGCTCAAATGTAAGAACAGAGTTCCGCAGCACATAGTAGAGATAAGTAAATGTAGGTTCTTTTCACTCTTTCTTTTGTCTTTAATTTTCCAAGAATGGAAATAGTTGGTAAACCCAGTTAATCAAGATCATTAGCATTGTTATTAAGCTGAGCTCATAACCAAACAGTAACCAGTGTTTCTTACCTGAAAACATATATTTGGTGTTTCAGTCTGAAAACATGTACTTAGGCATCAAATATATAAATATTTGGGGTTGTATTTGGGAGACATTGGTTTTTGCTATTCTGATTTATCAAAAATGATAGTATAGTGAAAATGTAGTGGTATTAGCACTAATAAAATGTACATTTTGACTTAGTTTTTATCTTAAAACCATAATGTTCCACCCATGTGTAATCAAACTAGACCAAATGGGTTACAAAAATGGACATCAGTAGTTTGTGCTAATAAGGACACTTCAGAGAAAATTCTATTCCATTTGAAAAATATTGAAATGTTAAAAGCAATGTTTTACTGTACACTAAAATGCACACCTATTAAAGATCTTTATCAAATTTTCCATCCATTGTATAATTGACATTTCCACCAGAATTTTTTTTACTGGAAAATGCAATATGACTATATGGTCTTTGTCTTTGCACACCTCTTTCTGTTTTCATAAGAGTTCCAAGTCACTCTCTTTCTGTTCTGATTTTCTACTGTCCATAGAAACCTCAATCACCAGTGTCCTTGATCTGATTGTGGCTTCTATTTGTCATCCCACATACGAAGACCAGCTCACCAGAACAAGATCCACAGCAGAGTGAGGCCACTAACACCATGTTCTGTACAAAGCTGAAGGATCTCAAGATCACCGGGGAGTGTCCTTTCTCGTTACTGGCACCAGGGCAGGTTCCTAAGGATCCAACAGAAGAGGTAGCAGGAAGCTCAGAGAGTTGCAAAGCCACTCTGCCCATCTGTCAGAACGTTCCCGAGAAGAATGCACAAGGAAGTCTTCCTAAAAGAAAGACCAGTCGGAGTCGAGTATATCTTCACACTTTGGCTGAGAGCATTTGCAAACTGATTTTCCCAGAGGTGAGTGCTTGTCCTTTTATGATTTTACTGATACTTTGAAAACTGTTTAAAAAAAGTTTTCCTAAGGAAAATGTAAACACTTGCTTTCTCACTTTCAAGACTATGATAGAGGTAGCATATTTCCTGGAAACATACAAAAACATTCCTTTAAAGCAATCATATTCTTAAATTGTATTTATCTTAAAACGTTTAACATCTTGAATTCTTTTAGAAGGGACCCTGCATTCTGGCAAGTTTTATAATTTTGAGTGATTGCTTAGTTCCTTAGCATCAGCTTTCTTGTCTGTAAAATGGAAACAATAACAGTCTCTACATTCTAGTGTTTTAATGATCATGAAGTGAAGTGATCCATACCTCTTGCCATAACATAAATGCCTAGTAGTTGTTCACTATTATTCTAAAATTAACTTCCTTGAAGAATAACTTACTTTCTGCCATGTTCTCTTCTTCCAACTCCAAGAGCTTCATGCATCACCTGACAATTTGTTGGGGTGGGAAAATCTCTCTTGTCCTGCTGGTTCTGGGTCTGAAATCTCTGCTCGAGCCAGGCATAACCTGCTCTTTTGGGTCAGAGTCATGGTCCTGTGATTACCAATGTCTGTGTTGTTAGCTCAGGCACTTCTTGAAAAAGCTTTGTGAGCTTCATAATCTAGTGCCATATTGAGATAAGGAGCACCTTCTTGGTCAAATAACTTAGGAATAGAAGGGGCATGTAGAGAGCTCCCCTCCCTCTGCAGGGCTAAAGAGAACAGCAGCTGACTGTGTTCATGATGTCCTTCTCCCTCCATCAGTGTTCAGTTTTATAGAAACTCACTTAACCTATGAATTTGGACATTGATGTAGTTAGACTCCAGCTATTGTCATCCGCTGGTAATTTTTAACTGACTCAGTACCAAGGCATTGAAGAACCACAGACTTGCTGACTTTTAGGACTCAGAGGAACTTCAGAGGTAATCTTGTTTCCCTCCTAAGGACTAGAGGAGTTCAGTAACTTGACCAAAGTCGCATAGTGTTTGAAGGGTAGAGCAATTACTGCTGTCAAGCAATATGGGCTTGAGTGACTGAGAAAGAAGAGACTTGAATTGACACTTGGAATATGGGTAAACTAGAATGAGCAGAAAGTGGAGGAACTTATTCCAAATATAATATTACCACAATAGAACTTCGGTTAATAGCCTTTGAAATAGAACCATCTAATTACTCTCACACTATGCTAGTCACTAGATAGCCAGCGTTGGCTGGGATGAAGGATGTAGCTCTTGCCAGGGAGCCGGGCAGCGTCACAGTCTGGGAAGTGGTTGGGACTCTCATTTCCAAAGACAGAGTGTGGTGCCCAGGGAGGAACAGATGGTGCCCACGGGGAAGCTGGACGTCCTCCACACTTCTCCCAAGTCTCGTCATTGTTGTGTCGGCTTCATGGTTTTGTTTGATAGATTTTGAGTTTTTAAGTAGAAGTCATACACATGTTGAAACATTCCAAATACTGATATAAATATTTTACTTTTTTCTTTGTTCTTATTTAGAATAAGCTGTGTTGTTTGTGAACTCATAGGAGCAATCATTGAGTTTTGGCGATACTGTCATGAAGCAGATGGTGAAGGCAAGGCTATAAGAATGCTAAGAGGCATTGCTTTTTGGCATTTTGGCTAAGATCAAGGAACACGTTTAAGAGATAGGAGTATAGTTGGCATTATTGACTAGAATTCCTCTTTGACAACTAAGGCCATTTGTCTTGTGACAAAAAAATGTCCTTGTGTTGAATACACTTGGACTGTGTGATAATAATCTAGATTATTTCATCAACTGTGCAAACATCTGCATATCTTCAATTAAATAGCACTTTTTAATTTTTTAAAGTAGACATTTGCTTCTTATTATACTGTTTAGTTTCAGTTGTATCAATCATTCAGAGAAAGAGACTCTAAATATCATTTGACAGCATCATAGTTTTCATTTTAGAAAATCAAATTTAACTTCCCAATTCATGTTATTATGGGGGACAAATATTAAAATGTATTATCAATGGCAAATTCAAAATAGGAGATGTCATTCTAAAGTAGAGGAATAGCAGAGCTTAAAAAGACCTCACTGATCATCCAACTCAAATTTTTCACTTCTGTTTGAAGAAATTGAGGATATAAATTTAGGGCACTCGCTTTTAATAAAAGAGATAACTGGCAAGATGGAAAGGTCTGTACCACTCATTCATACTTTATTGCTCTTTTTATTATAATATTGTTTTCTCATTTTTCATGACTGTTGCTCCCCCCAAATCCTGTATACTCTCCAGGCAGAGTGTGTTTAGGAACTTGCAATGTAGTATTAGCCATAGTTGTAAAACACCAGAACCCACTTACTGAATTGCATCAATTGAATCAAATATGCTTAAATAGATGGTATTACCCCAAGTCAAAGATCTCATGAGACCAAGTGGATCTGAGGAGAGTTGTACCATTTCTATATGTGTTTCAATACAGTGGGTTTCAAAGAAAAAAAAAGAAACAAAATTATAATTTATCCTTAAGAATTGAAATAACTTCGGTTTAGAAAATTATTGAAAACTGTAGAAAAGTTGAAAATCAACTGAAATAGTTAAACCATACGAACGGAATTTTGTCTACTCAGTGTTCATGGCAGTAATGCATCAAATGACAGGTATACCAGAGGTATTAACATACAGTGTATGTGTCAGGGATGCACTTATTTTAACAATGAATACATATCTACCCTTTATCAAGTCAAAAAATAATTGTGAAGCAAAGAGGAACAAACTCAAGAGCGACACTTGATTCACTTTTGGGGACAGGCATTTCCTCCAGGAATCAGAAATTCCATGATCCGCAACCCTTCAGGGTCTAAGGATTGTGGATGTAAGCAGAGCCCAATTTCCCAAAACTCAAAATAGAGGCTTTCCCAAGTAAAAGGGAGTTTGAGTGCTGGGCAAGTAAAAATCTGCAGGAGACTACTGCATCTACTGCATAATATTTATGTGTGTTGGATTGTAGGGGATTAATTTTAAAGGAAATATTCCATTTAGTCCTAAAATTCCATACTAAACTAAAGATCAATATATAGAATTGTTGGGATGTGTAGCATCTGACTGACCTGCCTAGAGTCTTGTAGTCGCTGATGGTATGTCACAAGGCCCTGACATGGGCTGTGGATGACAGGTCTCACTTAAAGTTGAGTCCTGCCTATGGCACTGTGGACTTGTGTCATCCCAGTATCTACACTCAGGATATGTTACAGAAGCTACAGGGCCAAAGCAGGAAACTGTGCACCAGCAGCCTTTACAGATAAATGTTTTGCCAGGAAAGTTTGGGGGTTTGGTTTGGTTGTGTTTCTTTGACTTTATAATAGTTTTCCAGAGAAGAAAAATGGTATATTATGAAAATAGCTACAAAAGTCTGTTAACTCATCATGTCACTAGAGTATACTACTAGAGCTTTCTTAGGACTTGAGCACCTTTGTCTTTAGAAAATCACATTCTGGTTCAAAATGGAAAGTCAGGAATACCTGTGTTTCACTGACCCCAGCAATGGGAAGACAGACCATTTTTCCTCCCTCTTACAATGGCAGCATTTACATTACATGGAAAGGACTAGAAAAAAAATTTCTGGTGAGAGTGGGAAGGAAATAAGAGTCCTAGAAGGATCTTGACTGCAAAGGGAAAGATAAAGAGAGAAAGAATGTCTCCAGTAGCATTCGGGGAGGAGGAAGAAAATATTATTTATTTTATTTTTCTCACTTATAGTTTACATTCAACATTATTTTGTATTAGCTTGAGGTGTACAGCGTAAAAAGGAAAAAATCTTCAGTAACAGAATTGGATGGGTTTTCTTTTTTTCATTGTCTATCAGAAGTTTCTGGCCAGAGTAACAATTCATATATATGCAAACATAATTCAAATTATTTTAAATTGGAAGCAATCTAAATTTATTTATAAGCAAGGTAAAAGAGTAATACCGCTGTACTTGGGTCTCTTGCTTCACTGATGTAATTTTACAGATGAGGTCTTCATGTCTTTGAATGCTGATAGGGGAGTGTTATTCATTCATTCATTCATTCATTTATTCATTCCATCAATATGTACTGAACATCTCCTATGGCCATGTACTGTTGTAGGTGCTGGACATAGTGGTGAATAAAACAGGTATTCTCTGCCCTTTTGGAGATTCTACTCTAGTGGAGAAGACAAATAATAATAACAAGGGCAGGTAGCAAAGGCATGAAGCAGAAGTGAGAGCTCATGAGCAAAGGCAATGATGTTCATTTTATTGATGAGCCCTTTGCCCATCTGTATATGTTTCTCAGGAAGAAGGAACTCACAAAACCCACGCTTTCATGAATTTTAATCTACATGAGTATGCTGGTGTTAGGTATGCCAGAGTAACTTTCAACAAAGTAAAAGGTCCTCGAGACCTTTTACTGAAGCTTTTCAGGCATCCTGGCTAATCCACCTCATTTAGAGTCTTCTATTTAAGGTCTCTCCTTCCTTAACATAAAAGGCCACAGAGAAACATGCCCATACTTTCCCTTCCAAACATGTTCCTCACCCGCCAGGCGTCCCACCCTCTGCCGTCATATAGGTCCCCAATTTTGCTTCGAATCTGCCCACCAGATAAGGCTCCTGCCAGCCTTTCTTTCATCCAGAAGCAGACATATCCTCTCTCTCCTTATCGGAACAGTCAGAGAAGTTGCTCTACATTGTAAATTTGTTTTCTTTTCTTTTTTTTTTCAGCACTTGTATTTTTTCAATAAAGTTCAAATTTCTTTTCTAAGCTCTATAATGCACATTAAAATGGAAAGTCCTTTTTGTAAGTTATTAACTTAATTTCTTAAAACAGAAGCTTGGCCTAATTTGCTGAACTCCACCGCCTGCCTCGCTTGACCAGTGGAAACTCAGAAAGATATAAATAGTTCTTAAGGAGAAAGGAATTTCCCAACTTGGAACATAGCCAGAAAATTCTTCACTTTTCTCTGGGTAAACTACAGAAAGAGTCAGCAGTTATGTATACCCATGTAGATACATATAATTTTACATGGAATGCAAAAGAATTAGCAGTACTACTTACCAATGCTCTGCTTCTCCTTATTAGCTAAGGACAACAAGCAGTTAAGAAAGATTAATAGATAGTCAGCAAGTATTTAAAATATGGTAGCTTATATGCAATACCTTACAGTATAGAAAAAATCATGAAATCCATAAAAGAGTAAAACTGTAAGTGTCTGGTGAGGATTATTAGTTTAAAGAAAAAACATGAGTGCAAACTAGGGAAAATCCAAGATATGTTCCAAATCAGTGATCAGCTGACCTTGGTGACAGACTGGATTTAAGGTATGAAGAAGGGGGAAAGACAGAGACAGCACCAGAGTTTTTAGACCAGGAGATGGGAACGGTAAGTGAAACATAAATTCGCATGTGGAGTTAAGGGCCGAGAGTCCCTGGCACGGCTGGTGTAGCATTTGTGAAAGGGGTAGGGCTTGGCTTGGCTGGAGCCACGCTGACGTGAGGTCCTGGCAGCACAGCCGAGGGGTTTCCTGACCCAGAGGAAGTGATGCCCAGGATCCCTTCATGGGAGACCTGACATTACCAAACTGGGGTCGTCTGTTCAGATGTCAACTCACTTGACCTTGTTCTGTGGTTGTCAGAGGATCCACCAAGGGCAAAGCCTGTGGTCTACAACCACATCCAAACTCAGATTAGTGTGAGCTCATTGTTTCTTCCCAAGTTTGAAAAACCCATGGAAAATCAATCTCATTTTCCAAAGTGTAAAGTCACGACACTTCTCATTGTGATAATAGTGTGTCTGCTTCTTTACAAGAAACTTTCAAGACGAGTGTTTAAAATGTGTATCTTCAAGTTCATTATTATTTAAGAGAATGTTTACAACTTTTCTTTTCAATTTTCAGTTTGAGCGGCTGAACCTTGCACTTCAGAGAACACTGGCAAAACACAAAATAAAAGAAAGCAGGTAAATTGAACCACTTTAGTTGTATGAACTTCTTATTACCATCACCAATACCACCACTAACAACCAACGCTTACTGAAAGTATCAGTGTATTTCTAATGCCCAATCTGGACTAAGTATTTTAGCTGCCACTAATCTGAAAGTGAGTGCATTTATTTTTCCCATTTTATGCATCACTAAGCTCAGGTTTATGTAAGATGTTTAGAATTTGATGGGGGGTTAGGAAAAAGCAGACCAGAATTTCGAACCTGGGTGTTTCAGAGCCCATGATTTTAACTATGTTGCCATATCCTGCTGCTTTTAACAAGCTCCCAGGGGCCTCTTCTTTCCTACTACAAGGTAATTTCTAAAATACTCTACAGGGAAGGCATGGATACCAAACACGCAGGCACACTCCTTGCCTGGAGAATCCTGCTAAAGGGTTGGAGCAAGGTTCTGGTGTTCCCTCTCCCCCCACTTCTGCCCTTTTTCCCAGGTTAGACTTTCAGGTGCTGCATCGGGAGGAGATGAAATGGGAGAGAATGGAGGGAGTTGACTTAGGGGACTTGGGGCAGTGGCTATTAATCCTCAGAGGAGTATTTCAGTATCTTCATATCCAGTTCGGTTATGCTGGTGTTTGCACTGACTGACTATCAGTTGTGTTCACAGTTCTTTTCTTATTACTGTGTCTTTGAAATTTTCGTTAAGCTAGCTTTCTGCAGAGACTTAATATATAAGGTAATATTCAAAAGCAATCTGATTTATATCATCAATTTTTCAAATATATCTTGGCACAGTTATTGCTGGTAGATAACTTGATTTAGCCTTGTTTTTGATTCTCTGAAATCCCAAGGATTATTTAATCTGGAAATGACAGAACATATACTTTAGTTTAAATTTATGGAATTGAACAGTGAAGTTTTGCAAACCAGTACCATTGTCAGGAATATTTTATAAATTCATTCATCTCCCTACTGCTCTTGAGTGAATAATCTGTTTTGTGGATTATCTGCGTGTAATTTTCCCTGCTGACTTACTGTTCCCAGACTGCAGGCAGCGGGCTGCCAAGAAGGGGTCACAGACGGGTTCAGAAGGAGAGAGTGCGAACCCCCGTGTCTGACAGGAGCTTTGTTTACATGAGTGATATGCAGAGCATTCCAGAACACCTCTGACCTCCACTCTCGGTCAGGCTGATAAGAGAGCCCCAAGTCAGTGGAGCCGCGCTACTGTGTCTGTCTGCTGAGATCCTTGGCAGCCAGTTCACACAAAATTTATTCTTAGGGCTTTGTGTTCTAAATGTTTTCAAAGCTGGATGGGTACAAACATTCCATTAGGATGTTTTCCCAGCGATGTTATCTCTTTTAAAAATCTCAAAACTCAAAAAATACATATTTTATTTGGAAATCTTGAAAAATCTTTAACCATTTCCAAGACTTCTTGCAGAGCTGATCATACTTTTAAATTGTCCTAGTGGTGATTATTCAGTTGTTGAAATAAGATGAGGGCCCTTCTTTTCTCCTAAGAGTGCCTGTTGGTATGCCAAATGGCTACTCTCTGCTTTGCCTTCTCAGATTCTTGGGTATGTTCTTTGTTTCTGGGTTTTCTCCCCATCTTTTTGGCAGGGTAACTGCCATTTCCACTGTTCTCATTTTGCCAACTGCTGAACATACCTTACTCCGTTTTTCAGACTATTTATTATCTATGTAACTTGAAAAGAAAAATACCAACATGTCCTGGCTGGCGTAGCTCAGTGGATTGAGCATGGGCTGCGAACCACAGTGTCGCAGGTTCGATTCCCAGTCAGGGTATATGCCTGGGTTGCAGGCCATGACCCCCAGCAACTGAACATTGATGTCTCTCTCTCTCTTTCTCTCTCCCTTCCCCCTCTAAAAATAAATAAATAAAATCTTAAAAAAAAAAGAAAAATACCAACATGTTAAATAATAAACTGTTCCTAAATGGAAGACTGGAGTTCCCTGCTCACCACCATCTATTCTTTAAGTGAATGAGTTTAAGTAGAACCATTCTGGGGTCTCCCTGAGGTGGTTGCAGGTAGAGCTTTTGTTTTGTTTCTTTTTCTAGGACCTTTTGTTCACATCATCACGTGTATGGACTCACAGCTGGTGTGTGTGTGTGTGTGTGTGTGTGCACATTTGCTGGTGCATATACAGCCTGATACCTCCTTTTCTGAAATAAAGATAAGGAACCTATTTTGAATTACACTACACGCTGTTTAACTCATTTTGCTCATATCTCATATCATGGGTGCTGGGAATTGGCAAAATTATAATTCTCTGGGAAGATTTGTTCTCCTCCTTTACAAAAAATAGAAGTTGCTTAAAAAAGAAACAAGTCTAAAGACTGATTAATGTAAAATAATATACATCAAGGGGTTCGGTGGTAAAAGAAGGACAGGCTCTGGGTGGTGAGCACACAAGAGAGTACACAGATGCTGTGAGATGTTATAAAGAAGTTGTATACATCAGGGTGCCTGAGGGCCTCTAAAGTCAACTAGATAATGCCATTTAGTGCTCCTCAGCCCACTTAAATAAGAAAATATTTCTACCTGCTATTTTAAATAATTGTAAGCAATATAAGTTTACATGATAAAGTAGTGGACTGAGAAACTTTCCTTCTTGAAAATATTTCCTTTTGAAACTGCTCTACTGTATCATGTTCTTTGAAACCTGTTAAGAATTATAGATTTATGCCTGTTTGTGCACTCGGCTTGTCTAATGGCAAACGGCACCACAAGCAGAACTTGGGTATTCTTTACTATGCTTCCAGAGTTTGGCAAAGTTGCTCATAATTGGTCATCACTATCAGGAATCATCAACAAAAAGTTTGGCAGACATAAATCAGTAAGTTGTCTAGTTGGAATTACCAGAGCCTCTATCAGTCAAAATGTATGCCATTATGTGATCAACTTCTATGCTATAGAAACCAGTGCACTGAGTAAAACCAGTAACTGAGTAAAGAATAGATTTATTTAGCCACTCAGTTTTATACTAGATCAAGAATAAAATTTAATATAAAGATGCCTGAGAGTTAAGTAGACAGGATTTACTGTGTATTTGCTTTAGAAAAAAATAAGGATACTTAAAAGTGACATTTGCCGATGTGTAGGTAGGTATTTCTTCCTGACTGGGTTTTCAGAAAAACTCTGGGCAGCTTTATCACCGTCCCCTGGTGGGCCATTTCTATTCCTGGTCGCCTGCCAGTGTAGACGGCCACGGCATTAGTCTAGGTGAAGTTCAGTTGAAAGGTAAGTACTTCGTAAGAAATGGTGGAACGAACACTCTGTGTCAGGTATATTGGGGGTTTCCCAGCATGCTCTGGGTTGTACATGCCGCTGCTCCTTTGCTGTAAACTCGATAGTCAACCTTTGCCTCTGCAGAAAAGGTAATTTAAATTATTATTTGTCATAACTTGTTATAAATGAAGTTTTAGCATTCATGTGTCAGTTTATAATTTAAGATATTGAAATAATTTCAGAAAATGTGTGGAAAGAGAAGACTTGGAAACAATAATTGCAGACCAAGCACTTGCCACAGGTAATAGACGTGTTTGAGTTTATGTGATTAGGAAATAATTATAATTTTAGAACTGATATTTTACCAGTGAACTAATATTTTCTATTAGTAAAAATAGTTACTTATGGAACTTATATTTTCTCTTAAAATATTTATTTATATTTGCTAGTGAGTTCCAGTGTGAAGTGTTCGATGTGTTGTGTTGGCGTAAAGAATAACTCTTTTCCATGCTATATATTTTTGTTTGATCTAAAATATTTCCTCTTCTTATAATGGTTATTTGCTGAGAATTAGATACAGCTGCATGGAAATCTGACTCATAGATAATTATAGCTTTGGTCTTGATGTTGACTAAGGATTCCTAGTTTTTGCAGGAAAAATACTATTCAGCAAAGTAAAACAAAAAAAAGAATTAAAAGGCCCGAAACAATCATGGGAAAAGGGGTTAACAGTGTTCTCATATTGATACTTAGTTTAGGGAGACCAGTATATGAGTAAATTTGTTTTACTGTCTTTTCACGGTTTGAGTACATAGCCCAACAAGTTAATTTTTTCTAAAAGTATAAGATATTAAGATTGTAATAATAATAATAATAATGGTGATTATGGCTAATTATATTGAACCCTCTTAGAAGCAGGTACTATTCTCAACACCTTCCCCACATACCACAAGAGTGTCATGAAAAAGGCACTACTTTTCCCTCAATTCCAGATAAAAAAAATTGGTGGTGCACAGAGTTTAAAGAATAAAGGAGGTTAAGGAAGAAGTTGCAGAAAGTAATATATTCCAAACACATATTCACTAGCGTAACATTAACCAATGAGAAGGATATTATACTCAGAGAAAATTGCTTTATATTATCTCTAAAAAAATGAGAAAGTTGAGTTTCGAGACCAGTGATTTCAAATTAATGCCTGCGTCTGAAGCTTGTTCTCCTGAGGCCCTGCGAGGGTGGCTGTACCTTCCCGTCAGGATGGACTGGCTGTGTCATCGCCGAGGTGGGAGGGCTTTTTCTGAAAGGGGCCCGACCCTACAATTCCACTTGCTCTTTTAGAGCTAAGTTTTTTAGGGAGATGGAAGTTGTACATTATACTCAATTGATCATTCTTTTCCAAATAAATGATTGGGGATTTTTATTCTAAGTTACCAGAATTTTAATAACTAATCTATACAGATAATTTCAATATAGATGGTTAATTGGGACTGGAACTCTTATTATGATATATAAAAGGAACTAAATCATTAAATAAATAAAACAATGTTTAAAATAGCAGTAACAGCACAAATGTGGCAGAAAATGTGAATATATGCTTTCAGGAGTTCCCGTGGAGATCATCAAAGAATCCCTCGGTGAAGAGCTTTTCAAAATATGTTATGAGGAAGATGAGTACATCCTGGGTGTGGTTGGAGGAACCCTCAAAGATTTTTTAAATAGCTTCAGCACCCTCCTGAAACAGAGCAGCCCCTGCCAAGAAGCAGAAAAGAAGGGCAGGCTGGAGGATGCGTCCATCCTCTGCCTGGAGAAAGATCATGACTTCTTAAATGTTTACTATTTCTTCCCTAAGAGGACCACGTCCTTGATTCTTCCCGGCATCATCAAGGCAGCAGCTCACATCTTGTATGAAACTGAAGTGGCAGTGTCATTAATGCCTTCCTGTGTCCGGGATGACAGCAGCGAGTTTGTGAATCAGCCCTATTTGTTATACTCAGTTCATGTCAAAAGCACCAAGCCATCCCTGTCCCCAGGCAAACCCCAGTCCTCACTGGTCATCCCTGCTTCTCTCTTCTGTAAGACATTTCCATTCCACTTCATGTTTGACCAAGATATGACAATTCTGCAATTTGGCAATGGGATCAGGAGGCTGATGAACAGGAGAGACTTCCAAGGAAAGCCTAATTTTGAAGAGTACTTTGAAATTCTGACTCCAAAAGTCAGCCAAACGTTTAGCGGAATCATGACTATGTTGAATATGCAATTTGTGGTCCGAGTGAGGAGATGGGACAACTCTGTGAAGAAATCTTCACGGGTAAGAGAAACATGATAGAATTTTGAATGTAAAATCAATTATTTCATACTAAGGACCAGAAGCCAAAAAAGGCACAAATACATATGTATTGCTTCAAATGTTTTGAGAAAACAACGCTGAAATACTTTTAAGGCTCTAATAAATTGAAAACAAGATTCTTTCTGCATGCATTTCTTCTTGACCCTTACTTCACAAACACTCAATGAATGCAGTCTACCTTTTAAAATCTTTATGAAGCATTTTATAACTAAATTATAAAAATATTTATACAAAATATGTTTTCAATCATGAAATAACTGCCTTAATTTGGAATAAGAGACATTTTTCTTAAAAACACACACAAAAAACTACTTTTTTTCTTATAGGACCCAACTAAATGGGTTTTTAATTCAATATATAATAAACATGGAAGAAATCAATAATTTATTTAATTGTTAGAGGATGGATGGGGAGAAATATTTTGTCACCTCATGGTAAAGAACTTTGGTAATCATTTGCTCTTAGGATACAAAGTTTGCTAAAACATAGTTGATAGTACAGCAAAGCTAATAGAGAGGATTAGAATGCATATAAAGTTTAGTCATGCATAACCTCAGCAGACATACTGTTCCCAAAATGAAAACAGCTTTATTACTTTTTATCATACAACTCATAGGTAAATGTTTAAAAAATTGGTAACTGTAGTAAAAAGGTCAAAGACATAACTTATGTGCATTTTTGTTTAAAACAAAGAAGTACTATTTATAACTTCCATTTCATTACTAAAAAAATATTTTGGGCATCTTTCCATTACATTAGATAGAAGCCTATTTCACTTTTCAGAGGCTATGTAGAATCTCGTTGTAAGGTTTTCCTCTATTTAACCATCTGCTATTGAAGGACATTTGGGTTGCTTCTGACTCTTTGCTGCAGTGAACACACATGTACATATTCATACATATTCATGCAGATAAACTGTGTGATCCAGGATAATCACTTGAAGTGTCACTTTTCTTAAGCCTCCCTTGCAGCAATTACTTCTCCTGGCTGCTACTGTCAAAAGAATGTAGTAACAAAAGCAGCAGCATGCCACTTACTAAGAAAGTTTTGAAGAAAAAATTATTTGCATTGTTTATTGAGAATTATGATTTATATGTAGAGTATACTCTTTGAATGCCTGCATTCATTTTAGAACTAATAGTAAGAACTGTAAGAATGCATATTGTTAATGGTCAGCAGGTAGAAAAAATCAAGTTGAATACAAAAGGATTATCACTGTATCTACTTCCTCTCCTTTTGTATCAAAAGGGTGTTGGGAACTTGAGTAAACCACAGGAATTGGTTCTCCTTTGCTTTACAGGTTATGGATCTCAAAGGCCAAATGATCTACATCATTGAATCCAGTGCAATCTTGTTCTTGGGGTCTCCCTGTGTGGACAGATTAGAAGATTTTACAGGACGAGGGCTCTACCTCTCAGACATCCCGATTCACAATGCACTGAGAGATGTGGTCTTGATAGGAGAACAGGCTAGAGCTCAAGACGGCCTTAAGAAGAGGCTGGGGAAACTGAAGGCTACCCTTGAGCAAGCCCACCAAGCCCTGGAGGAGGAAAAGAAGAAGACAGTTGATCTTCTGTGCTCTATATTTCCCTCTGAGGTGGCGCAGCAGCTGTGGCAAGGGCAAGTGGTGCAAGCCAAGAAGTTCAATAACGTCACCATGCTCTTCTCAGACATTGTTGGGTTCACTGCCATCTGCTCCCAGTGCTCACCGCTGCAGGTCATCACCATGCTCAATGCTCTCTACACGCGCTTTGACCGGCAGTGTGGAGAGCTGGATGTCTACAAGGTAGGGCTGGAGCAGGGCAATGACCATTTTCCAGGCAGAAGTCACTGAGAAAAAGCACAACTAGGGTCTGAGTGATACTGCACACAAGACGCTGTCTGAACAGGGCCATCCTGGGAGTGAGTGTTGTGCATTAATCAAGGGGGTGTCTGCCAGCCAGAAATAGCTCAGAATCTGCTCAGAAACAGAGATAATGATAACATGAAAAGACTGCCACATTGTCTTCTCAAGGCATAGGCACAGAATGGTGGGATGATAGACTGAGTGGAGAGCAGGGTGTAGGACCCATGGTCAGGTAAAGTTTGTAAGCCAGTGAGCCTTACACTTGACTAAGGAAACTGAGTTATTAAGTATCATACAATTCAAAGTATGGCTTGTACAGGAAAAACTTATCCTTTGTATCTATAAAAGTAAAGAAATGTGAGGATTATACAAATGGTATTCAAATAGATTAATTCAATACAGAGTCAACATGATACTTTTTATGTATTGCTACATAAAAAGTGTATCATGATGGCCAGTTAGAAGAAATCCCAATTACCTACTTAAGGCATTACTGTGGGGAGGCCATGGGTAGAGATGCCTGAATAAGAGAGGTCTGTCTTCAAGTTCTGTCTCTACCTGACATGCTTTGTGAGCTGAGAAAGTTAACCTTTCTCATTTCTGAAACAGAGAAGATGTTATCCACCCAAAGGTTACCATGCATGAACAACATAAATCATGTCCTGCAATCTTGATGAACAAGATCGTCGTACTTGTCATGGTAAATGATATCAGTTATTCATCAGGCAGCAGGACTGAGCACCTAGGATGAACCAGGCATCACTCCAGGCACTGGGGACGCACAGGACTGCCCCCAGGCTGTAATACGCTACTATTTAACTGCAACTATTATCAAAAAGAGAACTCATGAAGAGATTTCATGTGCTGCCTGTTTTTTAGAAGTAAAACATATTTTTTACTGATTGAAAGTATTTTGCATTGTTTTAGACATGAGCATTAAGAAGAGAGCATGCTTCTCATTTGTGTGGCTTGAATCATCTCTTAATTTGCCACATAATCTGAAATTTCAGAGTTTAACTGAACACAAAATAGATGATTGGAGAGAAAACAGAAATTATTTATGGGAATATGAAAGCCCTTTTTTAAAATCTAGATGCTGGAAGTAAAAAAAGCTTCTTTTTTAAAATTTCTAACAGGAAATTCCAGATAGAGCTATGATCCCTTAAGACAAAAATAGGTCCTTGGATAATTACAGATAAAATAATTGGCTTTGGTTAGGTTAAGCTTGATGGCCTCTTGTGGAATTTATTATATTTATTTGTAGACAGTATCTATCTTGAGGATGTCTCCTTTCTCAGAATTATGAGAAGGAATTCTTGCTGTTCTTTGCAAACTGCTCTGATTGATAGCAGAAGAAGCAGCCCTCTTCTTCAAGTTGAAAAAACATGGTTATTTCTGTCACGTATTTAGAATCAAGCCTCCTGACGACCGAAGTTCTCTGACTAACCCAGCTGCAGCTCGAACTAGTCAGTCACCTTCCCTGCTGGTCGTCATGTCCGCCTTCTCTCTACTCCTGATTTTTCATGAAAATGCCTGGAGACAGCCATCAATAAATACGGGTCTTCACCATAAAGTACATTTAGGATACACAGAACGTATAATCATAGGCTGCTCTAGAAGTATCCTGGCTTCCAAGCAACAGTCAAGTTTATTTATTCAGGGTCTGATCATACCTGGGCTTTATTTAATGTCATTTTTTCTCTTTCAATTATTTTGTTGTCTGTTTGTTTTACTATTTATTTATTCATTGTTTTAGCATATATCTACTGGTTATCTAGCATTTTCCAGCATGGGTGGGCACAATCCCTGTGAGAAGAGTTGACATATGTTGGGGAGGGGGTTGGTGGTGGCACTGACAAATGCTGGATTCCCATATGGCATGATGAAGGACCAATTTCACTCAAGTCTGTACAAAGTGCCACAATAGCACAGAGATTAGGCACCTAACTCTAAGTAGAGGTGAGGGTACTGCTTCTCCTAATTAGTAGCATTTATTGAGCACCTGTGATACATTAACCTCTCTGTTAAGCACTTCTTATGCATTCACTGTTGAGAAAAATCTGATGGGAGGCATTGCTACCTAATTCATTCATTGGTGAATATACCAGGCACTGGTGATATAGGAGTTAATAGAATAGACAAACTCAGAGAGCTTACATTCTACTGGAGGAAAGAAGGGCAATAAACAAATAAGTACATTTATAGTATTTTATGTGGTGTAATATTATGGAGGAAAATATGAAGCAAGTTAAGGGCAATTGTTATTTCATAGAGGGTGGTCTTTCTCATAAAGCGATGTTTCACAGGGGCTGAAGGAAATGAGGGACAAACCAAGTGGTTATCTGCAGGAATATTATTCCTGGCAAAGGACTAGCAAGTGAGAGCATGTTTGGTACATGTGAAAGGAAACAGGAGAGGCCAGTGGCATTGAGGTGAAGTGAGCAAAAGGGAGAATTACCAGGTAAAGTCAGGAATGGGCAGAGAGGCAGGTCAAGAGGAACTTTGGGCCTGCTATAAGTAAGGGTTTTGGCATTTATTCTGAGTGAAATGGGAAATTACTGTAGGTTTATGTATCTTGTTTTTCTCACTTCCATTTCTCCACCCTAGAAGTTTTGTGTAAGAAAAATGAGAATATCTGATAAGAGACAATAAATATTTAGAGAAGAGGAAAAAGACAGCCATTACAATTTGGTGGATTTAAATTAGTTGGTAGCTTTTTGCAGCCAGTATCATAGAGAACACCAAGATTTTTACTGTATGACTCATAACTTCTGCTATATGTTATACACTGTGATTCTTCCTGAGCTTGGGAAATGTGTTATGTGTAGGTGGAGACCATTGGCGATGCATATTGTGTGGCTGGGGGATTACACAAAGAAAGTGATACACATGCTGTTCAGATAGCGCTGATGGCCCTGAAGATGATGGAGCTCTCTGACGAAGTCATGTCTCCCCATGGAGAACCTATCAAGGTAAAGTGGATCATACCTTGTCCAGGAAATGAGAGTAAATGCTTATTAGTTATCAAAAGAGTGGTGTATTAGTCAGGGCTCAGTTGCTGAGAGCAAGCTCTCTAATTTATTTAAGCAGGGAGATTTACGACATCGTATGAGGTGGTTTAGAGAATCATTACATGGACCAAAGAAGTTATCTATAACTTGAGCTTTTAAAAAATGGCTCTGACAGCCAGAAATCAGAACCTCTGCCTTTTCCTCGATCAGGAAGCTGGCCTGCTCAGGAAAAGCTAGACCACTATAACCATTGTGTTCTAAAAGCTGCTGCCTCTACTATTGGCCACAGAACAAAACTGCACCTACTGATTGGAATCAGCCCCCTGGAAACCCTGCATCACAACCCCCACGACATGAGTGACTGGAAGCTGGGCTTGCACTAAGCGTGCCACAGGGAACTCAAAGGCTCCCAGTTAGGCTCACACTCAAGCATCACAACGAATGTAGTCACGGCAGAAGTCCTGGCTTTCAAATCTCACGCAAGTGTATCTGATTCACCCAACCTAATGCATCTAGAAACTGCCAGGGAGTTTGGAAAATGTAATTTTAATTTTCCAGTACTTGTAGGGGAGGACATCAGAGTAGAATGAATGTTGACTATTAATCTACCAGTGTTTTCCAGGACAGATAAAGTTTAAAAATGTCTTGATGAGTCAGATCCCAGAATATTTTATTGCAGATGAGAAAATAAAATTAACATGCTAGGCACTGGTTTCATCAGTAGAACATGAGCTGATTGTCTTTATTTATGGCACTGATAGTCAATCTGTCACTTAATTTTTACAGGATAGGCCTCAATTTGATGACCCAGAAATGGGCCTTTGAAGTGACATTGAATCTTATCTGATATGCAATAAGATATATAGAGAAGAAAGAAAAAATGTAAAATAAAACTATAATATTTAGAATTTTAGTCTTGATTCTCTTCAATGTTAATAGATACCATACATGTAAGTCTCTGTAATTGTTTCCTAAGTCCACCATCTTCCCAGTTCTAAGTTCGGGTGTGACACACTTTCATGTATTTAATGCTACAAGAACGCAAATCCTTTATTATGCATGGATTCTGTGCATCAGAAATTTGGCGAGGCATAGCAGGGATACCTCACCTCTGCTCACAATATCTGGTATCTCACCTGGGAAAACTCAAATAGCTGAGGGCATTTGGAATAGTTGGATGTACCGCTTGGACCCATATGACTGGTTCTTCATTGCAAATGGCTGAAAAGTTGGACTCAGCTAGGACTGTCATCCATCCACATGCTTACATGCCGTGTAGCTTCAGAGTAGTCACACTTCTTACATGGTGGTTTACATCCCAGGGAATAAGATTGGTGGCAGCTGCATGGCCTTTTATGACTTAACCTCAGGAGACACACAGTGATGCTTGCATTCTATTCTATTGGTCAAAGCGATCATAAACCTGGCCAGAGGGATAGCCAACAGGGCATGTGCTTTTACTGCCTTGTTTGGATTTTTATAAGGTGAATGCATGTTGATATTAATCATGCAATAGAAAAATAACAATGCTATGATAAATTTATCATATAGAAAGCTAGAATAATTAAGTACAGGGAGAAAAACTGATTTAATCAGAAGAATGCCCAAAGAGAGCAAAAAGTTCTCCATCTAAATGTATTTAACTTGTGGCTTATATAGGCAGAAGATCATTTTTTTCTCATCATTTTTGTTTGTTTATATCGTTTTGTTGTTGGACATGTAAAACCATATTCCTTTAAAGAAGAAAAAGCCCAATGTAATAAACATCTGTTTGCTGCTTGAAATAAAACTGTGACAAACAACAGGCTTTAAAAATAATCCAATTCTTCATTTTACAGATGAAAATATAGAGGGAAATAACAAGACTTACAGACAGTCAGACTACTCATTTTAGTAGAGTTTGGCTTAAAATGCAGATCTTCTGATTAATAAGAGTGCTTTTTGTTGGAAAATTTTGAAGAGTTCAGGATTTGACACCTTATAAGCAAATAATTTGGAAAAGTTTCTAGCACATATTAGAATGTAGTTACACCCCTGGCTTGTGTGGGTGGGTCTGTGGCTTGAGTGCCAGCCTTCAAACTGAACGTTACTGGTTCAGTTCCCAGCTGGGGCACGTGCCTGGGTCATATGTGGTGCTGGAGGTATGTATGCGAGAGGCAGTGAATCAGTGTTTCTCTCACAGGGGTGTTTGTCTCCCTTTCTTTTTCTTTCCCTTCCCCTCTCTCTTAAAATAAATAAATAAAATATTTAAAAGAAAAGAAATCAGCTATAAAATGAGGCAGGACTTGAGTCCCCTAAATTCTAAATTATATCTAAGTTAGTGAGTACTTGGCCTTTGTTTAAAATGCATATATCTAGTAAAACTTATTTTTAAAGTGTCAACTGAACATGCAGCTTGACAATTATAAACATGGCATTTGACGGTCATTTACAATATGTTGTAAGCAGTACTTTAAGACTCTGTGCATCCTCTAAGGCCATGAAATATTCTGATCTTCTAAAAGATCCCACTTTAAAATATTCTGTTTCAAGAGCTCTCCAAATCATTGATAACTTACAGAATTTCTATATTTTTACTCCACCATATTCCAGATTGCATCTTATAACTAGATAAGGGAAGACAATGGTTTTCCATGGGTCCAGACGTTTGAAACTGAAATTATATATATATATATTTTTTCACTATAATCTGGGCCTCAGCAACAACTTCCTGCTTCCTCTGTTATTTTTTTTGCTTAAATATTGGAATTCCTTTTCTCTAGCTGTTAGTCATTTGAATAATGGGGTAGTGTTTGGCATAAAGCTTTTCTGAGGCAATATTCCTAAAGCCACACACTTGATAGAGTGAGAGCTACCTCCCTTTGCCCCTCCTGACAGCCTTTGGGGAAACTAGTCCTGCAGCCCAGCAGTTATGTCTGCCTCACTTTGTAGACAGGGCAGGTTCACACAAACAGCCCGCAGATGCTTTGTCTTGTCTCTGTGGTGACTGCAATAGATAATGCGTGGAAATTTGTCTCAGATATTGAAGAGAGGTGAAATAAGACTGCCTTGTGTGATAAACCTAAGTGCATAAATAGAGAAGAGTTAAGAGGTGTGGCTGATTCTCCACTGGCCATTCTTAATCAGCTGTGAGGAGGAGAGGGAAGTCGGCCTGAGGTTTTGAGGAAGGAGGAACTGGTGTGGTGAGAGTGATTGGCCCAATAATTTAGACAGGCCATTCAAACAACACTGACAAGTGGAAAGTGCTTTACCAAAGTACTTTTTTGCTTGCAGATGCGAATTGGACTGCATTCTGGGTCAGTTTTTGCTGGAGTTGTTGGAGTTAAAATGCCTCGTTACTGTCTTTTTGGAAACAATGTCACCTTGGCTAACAAATTTGAGTCCTGCAGTGTACCACGGAAAATCAACGTCAGCCCAACCACTTACAGGTACTGATTGCACTGACCACTTGAGATCTATGAGTTTACTGTTGTAGTGGGAGAAATGGTATCTGGTCAAGAGGGAAGAAAGACATCTTCTACCTTGTGTGGACATCTGCATGGGGACTCTTGCTGCTATCCTTGGAGCTGACTGCCATCACACTTCCACTTAAATGGTTTCATTTTTTCAACCTGTTTTTCTTAAAAATTTGATCTTTATTTGAAGGTGATTTAATGGACATTTTTCACTGCATGACACTCTACTTGTGTTTATCTATAAGTTTCTTTAAAAGGCTGGGATTTGTATTCAGAAGACATGTCTTACCAGTTCTAAATACAAGGCTTACCTGTTGTGGGATCTTGAGCAAAGCCCTTAATAAATTCACGTGATATAAAGGCTGTGATTGTAATGATCACATTTACTAGGAAATGTTGAGCTAATGTGGATAGAAAAATATTTTTTAAATTTACCAATCACCTATAGATCTATACAGTTTTATTTTCTAAATCCTTACAGATTTATACATTTTTACAATTAATTTTTAAACATTCCTAACATACAGAAAAAAGTCAAAGAAAATATGATACTGATATTTAATAAATCTCAACATTTTGCCGTATTTGTTTCAGATCCCTCTTTTATAAAAGAATACAATATCACAGTCCCCATGTCCCTCTTTTCTGGCTGACACACTGGACTCTATATCCCTTAAGATTTGCAGGAACATCTGGGAACATGCACTTCCAAGGACAGGCAGGTTCTGAGGAGAGAGGCAGGAAGGCACTGAGTAGAGATACAACATACATCGCTGCTGTTTACCAGGAAGGAACACGGGCAGAATGAAGCCAGGAGTGTAACTCTCTTCATTTAGGTTCCTCCAGATAAAAAAGTAAAGTCGGAGAAAAATAGGTTTTCACTCAGCCTCTTCATATCCTTCTATGACTCCCTTGGGATCCACTCAAAATTATGTTTCTGAGACACTTTTTTCTTGATGAAATATAAATCTAATTCATTTGTTCAAATTATTTCTCATGCAGTGGCGTGCTGGTAGACCAGTTTAGAGGAGTGAAGGGGAGAATCCCTGATTTCTAGAATTTACTAATGTCTATGGCATCATACTCCCACCACAGCAGGCTTTAGTCCATTGCTAGCCTGGAAAATTCCTGAATGTTTTCACAGTTTGCTCTCACAAACCAGTACAAACTGGAACAAGTATGTCACTATATAATATTGAATATGTATTCTAGAGTATGAATCGGCCAGAATCCGCCTTCTACCCATGGTTAAAGTGTATCCAGTTTTCTTGTTATTGTAAAAGTGGTTTGATAAATATTCTTATACATACATTTTTAGATAACATGCCTGTAAGTGGTATTCACAGATCACAGGCTATACCCAGTTTCAACTTTACTAAGGATCAGTTCCCTGTCCAAATTGCTCTTGTTGATTTTCATTCCACTAACAGTGTGCCAAAGTTTCTCTTCCCCAAAGCCTGATATTATCAAACTTATTGTTACCGATATGACGGGTGTTATGTGATATCTCACTGATGTGTATTCTTATGTAATTGACTTATTTAATTTTCACAACTATCCTAGACATGCATACTACTATCCCATTTTTGCAAGTTAGAAAGCTGACATCTTTGTTGCACCTTAAAATTAAATCTACCAGAGTTTGAAGCTTATACTTTTACTATGGAATTCTGTAGCTTTTCATTATATATTACCAAATCCTATGCCTTATAAATAATAGGCCTCAAGAAATATTTATGAATTCCTAATAGGATCATCATTTTCATTGGTTTTATTATTTTGCAGGTTACATATTTATTGGTGCACTAATAGAAATTAGTTAATAGAATACTCACATGTATTTTACTTCAGGTCTGTCATTCATAGGCTTAGATTTCTACCTAGCTGGTTTCTTCAGTATTTGGAAGAGTGTCATAGTTCCAAATTCTAAAGTGGCACCAACACTCTATTTCATTTAGATAGGACATTGTAAACTGGTGAGTAAGGCTCTGGTCTGGTTGGGCAGATGTGATGAGTGCTTTTCTGTAGAAGTTGGTTTAGATCCCAGAACTATTCAACATTTTTCATCCATGGCCTAAATAATAGATTAGAGTGATACTTATTAAGTTTGTCTTGAACAGAAAGCTAGGGGAATAAATGGGAAGAGCCAGTAACTTAATCAGTAGGATCAGGAATTCAAAATGAGTTTAGCATAATGGGTAAGTAGTCAGTAGTAAAATTTTAAAAAATTAGGTAGAACAAATGAATTTAAGAAGGAAATACATTGCAAATACCAGATAGAAAGTAGAGTATCAGTGTATACAATTAAATCTCATTTTAGTCTTACTAACCTTGAATTGATAAACATTCTGTTGAGAAATAAAAGTTTAAATATATATGTGAGTGTGTGTATACACACACACATACACACATGCATATGGATATAGCTTATGTGGAACTTCCCCTTCACAGTTTTTTGCCCATGACTATTTCTCAGTAACATTTACAAAATGACTAAATCCATAAATGGGCAATGTTTCAACTTTGGAAGCCTTATTCTATCACATTTTATTTATGGGTTTATTTATTTATTTTTTGATCTTATTAGACCTTTAGATTATTTGGGGTTTTATTTCCCCACTACTGTGAATTTATTTTCCATTATTCTTCTTCTGTTTGTTAGCATCAGAAGGAGCTTTCTGTCAATCACAATGAAAATCACGGGTTTATTAATATTTTCAGGAATATTCATTTAGTTCTGTTGTCTTTTTTAGTAGACAATTATGTAAGCATTAAATTTTAATGGTTATATTTTTGTTTTAATCTTTCAGATTGCTCAAAGACTGTCCTGGTTTTGTGTTTACCCCTCGATCAAGGGAGGAACTTCCACCAAATTTCCCCAGTGAAATTCCTGGAATCTGTTATTTTCTGGAAGCGTATCAACAAGGAACAAATTCAAAACCATGGTTCCAAAAGAGAGATGTTGAAGACGGCAATGCCAATTTTTTAGGCAAAGCATCGGGAATAGATTAACAAACTATATGCTTGGTGTCAGCCTTTGGGGATTAACTCCTTCAAGCATTTGTGGAATCTCTGAAAGCACTTTAGGATGCAGATGGTTAAAAAGTGGTATTAAAATTTCAGGAATTGAGTCATGATCTACTCTTTCTTCCATTTAACAGGACAAAAATGTATGCACTTCAATACTTCAGCTCTTCAGTGAAAATAAAAACGGAACCTCGAGAAGTAACTTTGGGGGGATATTTTTGTTATATAACAATCACTTATTATCTGTACTTAAAATTTAGCACATTGTACATATATCAGGTAATTGTAATGACCTATACAATGTGATGGAGTCACTTGTATTCTTTGTCCTGGTGGAATGCCAACTGTGTCTGTGATAGTGTTGCCTTAAAAAAGCTTTCGAATAGAAATTATAGTCTTCAATGCCATAAGCTCTTTGAACCTTTAAACTCTGAATTTTATTATACTTTCACATTTAATTTTTAACATACATAAAATAGATTGAGGTTTTTTTCTGTTGCACTTTTCTTTTTTTTCTATTTTTAAGAAAATCAATTATGGGTTAGATGCAATATGAATATAAAATAGATCTTCTGTAAATATCAAAGATTATTTTATAAGCATATTCTCCATAATATAATGTGTCATTAACAATAAATATTTCCTTTTGTTTGACATTTTTTATTCAACATATGGTAAAGATTTTTCATTGCTATTAGCAATTTAATTCCTATTCATTTCTGTTATAGTATTTAGAATAAAAGAGAATTAAGCCTATGTTAAAATGCAATGATATCATTCTGATTTATTTTAATCAGAAGCAACATGGGAGTAAAGTAAGCATTTGGGGAACATATAACAAAGTACAGAAATAAAATATTTACACACACAGAGTAATTTGGGTCTATTTCAGCAGACATAGTCTATTGCCATGCTGAGCTATATAAAATTCCAGTAAGAAAATCTAAGTTCAGAAGTGGGAAATAAAAATTGTTCTTTTTTTTGTAAGAGTGCATTTTTCAAGTATTTGTATTGAATACTTAAGTGTGTGTATATTTTCTAAAAATCACCAAGGGGTTTGTCTTACTTACTAAATAAACACTTACAAATTGTTTTATTCTAGTTGAAATATCTCCATGATATTATTTAAAGAGAATGTTAGTGTCATTGAAGAAAATTATGCCGTGATTTTATTATGGAAAATTTTAAACATTTTTCTGGAGCTTGAACTTTAATTTTTAATGATGTTAGTCTAATATCTTTGGTAAACTAAACCTAAATAAGGGTTTGATTTTAAAAGAGCTCAACTTCAAAGCAAGAGAAAGATGAACATTATAATTTTTAAATTACTATTAGCAGAGCCATAGGTATACTGAAATTTTACTTGGAGTTCTAAGAAACAACTCAGCTTGAAAGCTCCTTAATGATCTCTAGTATTTCCCAGGCTACCCCATGGTGATCTGAGGAATAAAAGTAATTACCAATTGGCCTCTAATATCCTACATGTACCACTATAGATATTATAATAATTATTACTAAGTACCCTAATTTCTTGAAGGACTGAATGTGTCTCATGAAATACCAATCCTATTGTTGGAAAATATCATAGGTATTGGGAAAATATAGTTATGTGAAGTTCATAAAAATACTTAAAAGGAAAATAAAGACTTATTTTCTTTCTGTTACAGAAAGAAAAATGAACACCTATCATAAGGAAAATAATAGAAGTTAAAGGAAATTTAAAAGCATAAGATCAAATGTCTCCTTTACAAAAATATTTAGCAGATCCCAATTTCATAATAATTTGTTTTCTTATTCGGGTTGTTTTTCCTGAGAATTCCACAAGTTGTTTCTTCTGTTCTGATTTTGTATTCATTCATGGATTCTTGCCCCATTATTTTGTGTCTAGTTCACAAAATAAATTTGCTCTTTAAGCTATTTCTCAAGCAAGAATAGAGTTCCAATAACATTTTCTAAAGATGTTTGCATCATGAAGCAAAGAGAAATACAGAGTTAAAAAGTATCTTCCCATTTTTCCTTATTGTTTTATTTCCATCTAGACTTTGTAACAAAAGGCAGAGTTTCATCCTCAATGAATAGGTTCACTTACTCATTCCCATGTATATAATCATCATTTCTTGAATGACTCCCATATACTAGAAATAATGCTGTTTTTGGAATTCAAAGATAAAGTATGACCCATTCTATCAGGAAAGGAAAATGAAAAATGAACATAAGATAATTTCAAAATTCTGTGGGAGCACAAAGTAGGAGACTCAGTGCTTGGAGAAGTGTCCTGATCTTAGAGAAGTTCATAGAGGGGGAAGGACTCGGTCCAAGCAAGTGCACTAGTACACACAAAGAAATGCAGTCTTGGGGATGCATAGTGTATCCTGGATGGCATGTTGCCTGGGGTGAGTTGGAGGTGAGGAAAATAAGGACAGAAAGTCTAGTTAAATGCAAATCCTGAAGAGGGCTGTTTACATCAAGGTGTGTGATTTTGACGATGATAACAATGGTCAATTGTCATTATTAATTTTCATGGAGCGTTTTGTTCAAAACAAATCTTACAAACCAGCAAACACAAAAAGAAGCAAAACAGAAAAAAAGCAGACCATTGGTTTCTGCCTCCCTCCCCAACAGTTTTAAACTAGTAGGCAAGGGAAACAGCAAATGCTAAAGGAATAAATGGGGTGATCATACGTGTGTTTTTGAAAGGCAGTGTCTGAAACAGCATGGATAGCTGTGCATATTGACTTGCACAGATGGCCAAATTGATCTTCTTCTGTGTCTCAGAAGAAAATGATTCATGCTATATCCTGGGTGTTTTTACCAGAAGTATGAACATAAGCTAGGATGTCTGGCATTGGAATTTCCTATTACTCTCTAGGTCATTAGTCCTTCAGATACTTTGGTGGGGAAAAAGGAAGAGTTGCTTCAGCATTTTGCTAACCTTTCCTTCAAATTCTTCTCTGTGATATTACCAGTCACACCAAGGCAGACTCTTGCAGGCCTTTCCTATGGTTAGGTTAGAAGCTGTCCTACAATGGAAAATGGCGCTCTAGGAAGAGCAGAGGGCACTCAAGTGAAACAGCCTACCTGTTTCACATACTCCTGGGCATAGACTTGGTGGCCTGAGATTCCCCAACTGGAAACATGCCCACATAGAGCTTCACATACAATATGACCCGTAGGAAGTCTAGGGCCATATTATGCTTGAAAATCACATTCAATTCCCTGTTAAAGCAACAGTTAATAGTTTCAAAGAGAACAAGTTGACAAATTATTGTAGTAGTTTGAAGTATATGGATTTTACTTAGAGAAATTAATAAGTGAAAAGGAATGTCTTTGATACATACTGTTGGGGTGGGTTGCGAAATCACTACCCTTCACTGAACACTAAAATATGAAGAGTTTGTTTTGCCTGATTGTACACTTTGGTGCTGTGTCACTCTTAAATGGCTGTACTTACACAGCTAAATGAAGGCAGATTTGAAGGGTGGAAAGGTGGGGGATATGATTGGACTAGTGGAAGGCAAGTCACCAGAGGGGTTGCAATTCCTGTAAAGAAGAACTAGTCTCCTGCAAAACAAAAACTCAGTGCAGGGGATAGAAACTCGATGCAGATGATAGAAAAATGCAATTCCCTTGTCTAATCACAGGCTAAAAGCAGGGACAGCTTGCTTTACTAAGCAGAGAACACCCAAAAGTAGCTTTAACCAAGGTTTACAGTGTTGTGTGTTCTTTGCTGGGAATCTTCTCAAATCCTGAGAAATCTTGGTGATTTGCAGTGAGAAGTGGAAGAATCACTGCTATTGTGAAAGCCAGGAGCTTGGGAAGTACGATATTTAGTCCTTTGTGGTCTTCGTTGCCTTGAGCTTCCTTTTTTCTGCATGTTTGCTTCCAGATGTTCAGTGTAATGAGACTCCCTCTTAAATACTTCTTTTATTACATTGATGATGTGTATTCTTTTGGTATTCTTCCTTTAAGCCACATCAAACATTTTACATTTGACCCTGCCATCTCTATTTCTCTTTTTCACGCAAACTATTTCCCTATTTTTTTCACCCAAATTATTTCTTTGCTTTCTTCTTCATGTCCCTCTTTCCCTATTCAGTACATCCCCCCCCATAGCAAAACCTTCATAAATGCATAGATTCTATTTTTTTAAGTAAAAGGAGGAAATCATGATATTCTAAAAGCCAGGCTTCTTTTATCATCAGTATAGATTCTTTTGATCATCATATACTTAGTTTTAGGAAGCTGTTAATATTTTAGATTTAAACACTGGGGTAGAAATCAGGACAGAATATAAATGTTCTAGGACTTAATCTTAGACATTTCTGGTAGAAGATTTTGGAAAAGTTTGCGCTGCTTCTCAATAATTTAATGTCACAATATTAAATTGCCAACACACCTTACCATTTGCGGAAACTGTTTGTAGTGAGCTGCCTTCTTCCCCAAATAACTTGTATCTTGCAAAACTGAAGCAAATAAAAATATATCAGTATTTGGGAATTTAAGTTCCTTCACCTCTTGCCACATGTAAATTAAAGATGCCCTGCAAAATCTTACAACAGAAATTATATCCACTAATATACAGTGGTGTTCTCCAGCTTTTTGGATTTCTGCAACTATGAGTAAAATATTTTAGTACACTAACAATGTGTTTTAAATATAAAAAGTAAGTATTTATCACATAAATATTAAGACTTAATATTAATCTTAATATTAAGATTAAGATTAAATATTAATACTAAGATTAATAAACATATAATATGCTATCTGCAAGCCTATATACTACAATACAGTTATAAAGTTTTTTTGTTTATGTGTGTGAATATAAATAGAAATTTTAGTATTTTCTTCTCTTACCCCAGCATATCATCCTTATATTTTACTTTGGAAACTGCTACAATTGGCTGGTGGGTCTTCACTTTGATTGGGCCATATCACTTTGAGAAGGTGGGTAAAAGTCATAGAACATCTCCCCTCCCAAAACGTGCAGATGATCTCCTAGCCCAAGGTTTACATGTACTTCAGAGGTTTGGGGACTTCCTGGAGTCCACTCCACTAAGATAGTAGCATAGATTCTCAAAGAACATAGAGGGGGAAATAGTAAATAATCTTCAAAAAGAGAAGAGAATGAATAACTGGGAAAAGTCTGACTTTTGGCCTAAATGAGCCACTTTTGTTTTCTGAGTAATAAAGAAAATACGTGCATTTTTTGTTTGTTTGTTTTTTTGGTCCTAGTCTGTGAAATGATTCATGGGCCTTCACATATAGGTAACTAAAGGTTTTTCTTTTGTTGTTTTTTTCAGCAAATATTTAAAATATCTTTCAACATATTTTTCTCTAGCTTTTGGTAAATGTGTATTGCTAACAATAACCCCCCGTTATCCCCTAAGTTAAGTAGTACTTCTTTTTATTTTTCTCTATGTGAAAGAGGATACCTATTGGACTTCGCATTGAGATACTTCTTGATACTAACAACACTCTTTTTATTATAACTTTCATAGTTGCTTTAAATAATATGTTTATTTTGAGTTCTGCTTCTGGCAGAGTTGCAAAGTTTATCAAGAAGTTATCCTGTGTCTCAGAAGCTTGTTAGATATTGCTGCTACATAAATATTGTAATAAAAGTGTTTAAATAAAAAGCTTCTTAAAAAAATAAAATGAGTTCTATTTAAAAGAAAAATGAACCATTTGATCAAATAAAAACAATTTTTTTCCAAAATATACAAATGCATTTGTTCTCATGTAAGTTTGCTGCTACAGAGAGAGGAAACCTCCAACACAATAATGTGGAAACTCAGGACCAACAACCATTGTTTCAGGCTTTTGCTGTGTACAGCTCAACCTATATCCAAAATAAAAATTTAAAAAAACCAAAACTATTGTTAAATAAGGTACAAATATAACCATAATTAATTTCTTTAGGTATGTAAAGCTTTAATTTCCAACAAAACTCATATTCAGATTTTTCAAATCACACATAAAATAAAAAATGAAATAAAACCCACTAAATTTAAGAATAAAACAGTCTCTGGCTGGTGTGGCTCAATGAATGAGCGCTGGCCTGTGAAGCAAAGGGTCACTGGTTCGATTCTCAGTCAGGGCAC